TATGTTATGTGTTTGGACATGTATTAATAATATAGAAAATCTGTTGCAACGTCTACTACTAACAACACAAGTACTAATGGAGTTACTAGTGATGGAACACACAATTTGTCTATGAGAATTCCAATAGAAAAGGCAGTAACAGCAATAAATGATGTAACATTATTACAAGAAAGTATGACTTCTGAGGAATTGAGAAAATGCAAAGAATTAAATCGAAAATTAATGAACCAACCTGAATCTCCTGCATTTAATACACCAGTTGATCCAGTTGCACTTCAAGTTCCAACATACTTTAGTGTAATTAAAAGACCAATGGATTTAGGAACCATTAAACACAACTTATCAGATAAAAAATATATCACAAAAGAAGAGTTTCAAGCTGATATGTTATTAGTGTTTGATAATGCATTATTATTTAATCATCCAGATTCAGAGGTTTATCATTGGGCAGTTAAGTTGAAGAAACAATTTGAGACATTATGGAAAAATGCATTCAAAGAGAAAAAACCTGTAGATACAAAAACTAATGTTACATCACATAATGACACATTAAATAAAGTAGAAGAAAAGAAGCCAGAAGTGAGTAATTCTAAGAAAACACGAGCATCTTCAAGAAAGAAAAATACTAATAAACCATTAACTAAAGAAGAAATGATTAAATTAAGAAGTGATTTAAAACAAATTGAAAAGAACAAAGACAAACTAATTGAAGTACTTGCTGTGGTTAATGTAGACAGTAAAGGAAAGAATGAAGTTTCACTTGATTTAAGTAAATATACCACACAACAACTTAGAGAATTACAAAGAATTTTAAAAGGAAAAGGAAGAAAAGATGGAGATTATGATGGAAAGACTTATGAAGAAAAGATGCAACAATCTATTCAAGAACTTGAATTGTTAAAGAAAATTCAAGGAGAGCCTATAAAGAAAAGTGTTGTTAATAAGCCTAAGAAAGATGAAGAAAGCGATAGTGACAATGAATTGTCATCGTCATCATCTCTTGATTCTGAAGAAGCAAATTTGATGAGAATGACTGATGCACATTCAAAGAAAATGTAATATTTTAGTATCGTTTCTAATTTTCAATTAATTGTTTTTTAAAACATTAATTATTCTTTTACAATTTAAATAACAAAAAAGTGAATAAAAAGAACTTTGAAAAGAGTTTAAAATGATTGAATTACTTTATATTATCTCAATTGTCATTGCAGAAGAATGTATTTTTGAACCACTAAAAGATAATACTGATTTTAGTAAACCTGAAAATTGGGGAGGGAATTCTTCAATTTGTCCATGTGAAGGAGTTAATTGTAATATAGACTTCAGTGAATTGACAGAAGTAATGTATATTAAAAACATTAAAGGTACTTATAAAACATTAATACTTCCTAATAGTCCAATTATATTCGAAATTATAGGATTATTTGATGTTACAGATGAATTTGTTGTTCAAGACAAAGTAACAATTTATAGTAATTCAAAATATTTTGAAGACCTTAGTGATGTGATGTTTAAATCCATTTCAATTGGAGATAGTGTTACTTCTGAATTAATTGTAAATTCACCATTCAAAATAGAAACCATAAGTTGTGAAGGAACAATAAGACTAAACAAGAATGGGTTTATTTCTAATATATTATTACATGGAATATTAATAATAGACAAAAATGTTCATGTTACAGTCAATAAATTTATTGGAACAGGAAGAATTATTGTTTTAAATGGAATGATGTTAATTTCAGGTAGAGAATCATCTATTGTTAATACAGAAATCCAATTTGGAGAAATAAACCAAGAAATTATCAAATTAATTGTTAATAATGATATTCAATTTGAAAAAACATGTTTTAATATTTCACAATATAATGAAATGTATTGTGGTGAAAATCCTTTAACATTAGTTCAATCAATATTTGGTATAATTCAATCAACAAAACCAAGTTTTATTTATCATAATAATAGTTATTGTGAGTCTGATCTTTCTACTTCTTCAGAAATTAAATTACAAGTGAATAGTTTGTTGTTGTTATTTTTTTAATAAGAAAATTAAATATCAGATTAGTTAATAAATAGACAATTCATGTAAAACATCATATTATTATATTGTTATGCTTGTAGTAGGAATAGCATTGGTGCTTTGTTCTTTAATATTCATGATATTATTGATTTTTAAAGTGTATCAAAAATTACACATCAAAATAGAATAATTTATGATGTTTATTTGATTATTTTCTCTTTCTCTATAATAATTGGTAGAACTTAAAAAGATTATTTGTTTATGACTCAACAAGAAGATACTATTCTCTGTATTTCAATTAATGAACAAAAAAGCTATATTGGTATTGGAACTATCAATGGGTTTTATATTTTTGACATAAATAATCCATCAAAAGCTATATTTCATGAAAGTATTGGAGGAGTTGGATTAATAGAACTTAAAGGAGAGTCACAATATTTGTTATTAGTTGGTGGTGGTCCAAATCCATTTGAGTCACCAACTGTTGCATGTCTCTATGATTTAAATAATCATCAATTTGTTCCTAGTAATAAATATTCTTATGCACGGGCAATACGAAGAATTAGAATGACTAAGAAAGACACATTCATTGCATTAGAAAATAACATTGATGTATATTGTGAAGGAAAAGTTTCTACTACATTTGACACATATGATAATCCAAATGGATTATTTTCTGTTAATTATAATTCTCGAAAATTTGCATATCCATCAATCACTGAAGGAACAATAACTATTCATGACTTGGATAATAAAACTGATGTTGCTGTAATTAGTGCTCATGAACATTCTATTTATACTCTCTCACCTAGTTTTGATTCTACAATAGTAACTGTTAGTGAAAATGGTACTTTAGTCAGAATATGGGAAACTACAAGTGGAACGTTATTAAAAGAATTTAGAAGAGGAATGAATCCTGCACATGTTTATTGTGTAGCTTTATCAGATGATGGTAAACTTGTAGCATTACATAGTGAAAATGGAACAATTCATGTCTTCTCTCTAACAGAAGATATTAAAAACCAAATAGGATGGGTTGCAAAAGGAATAGGAAGTATTAAATGGTGGTTTGGAGTTGAAAACAATGTATCTGATTATGCCTCATTAATTATTCATGATATTCTACCTAAAACACAAACTGAATTATATTTCCTTCAAAGTGAATATTATAAAATTGGATGTTTGTTACTTTTATTAATTATTATTAATTTTATTATTTGCAAATGATTTATTTCAATAGTATTTGGATTGAATGGTAAATATTATGAAAGTCAATTGTCATTAGAAAATCAACAATTAGTTGATGACAAATCTGCTGAAATCCAGACAATACAATTAAATGAATAAAAAGACTAATTTGTTTTAACAATTTAATTATCAATCAATTTGTCTCAATACATCATTGCTCTTTTCTCTTTTTGTTGTTTGAATGAATCAATCAACGAGATTGGTACTGCATCCCCAACTAATTTCAAAAATTCATTCACTTCATTATTAAATCCATCAATACCTTTCATCCATGCATATTCAAGGAATAATGCTAGACATCTTAATAATTGTTTTTCATTTGAGTTTGTGTAAAATAACATAACTTCAAAAGTAATTTCAAATCTATGAAGTTTTGTTGAAAGAATTAATAAATTTTCAATAGAAACTACTTTTTGACATAATTCATTCATTATACTTAATATTTTATATGCCTTTAATATTTCTTGTTGAGCTTGTATTCCAATAATCATACCAAGACTCATTGCTTCTGCAATTAATCTTAGTCTAATACAAATATCATTTGGTTGTTTCATTTCTATATCTTCTTCTTCAACTTTAATCTTTGTTAAATAAATATCTTCAACACATAACTTTAAGATACATTTAATTGCCTCCTCATACATCCCTTTCTTAACATACCATCTCCATAAAATTTCAGGCCAGTATTGTTTCAAATAATTCTTAATTTCATTTGATGACAAACTAATAATTGTATCAATTTGGTTATGTTCATTCAAAATATCATACAACACCTTTTCTGCTTCAACATTTATTGATCCACTTACAATTTCACAACAATTTTTCTTTATTAACCAACACATTTCATCACTAGTCATAGGTTTTTGTATTCTTTCTCTTATAATTTCTATTGGCTGCATAATTTCAGTTAATACTCTCTTTAATGACTCTAATTTTTCCTTCTTCATTTTATCACTCTTCTTTAAACTTAATAAAACTAATGAAATGTATAAATCATGAAATCCTGACATTACCATCATCCCTTCTATTGATAAAATTTCTATATCCATGTCTTTCATTGAATTATATATTAACATTCCAAATTTATTTCTATCATTTTCATACCCATTAGTACTTTGTTGAGACATCACAAGAGCCTTTTCAACAATTAACTTCATCTCCATTTTTTTATCAAATAATTTAGTGTGTTTATTTTTCATTTGAATTACTTGTTCTTCAAATGGTTGTCCATTCAACAATGCATTTACTAATACTCCATAAATTACTTCTTTGATATCATTTTCTTTTTCTTTACAAATAACATCTTCAACACTTAAAATTCCACTCTTTCCTACTGGCATTTTTCCCATAACTTTCATTACACAAAGAATATCATATGCACTTTGTGAAACCTCTCTAATTCCAATCCCTACAATACTCTCACTCATTTTCTTATATTTCTCTAATTTCTTTAATACCTGAAGAGACACTATCCCTTCATATCCTTCAAACACATTTAATTTCCAGCATGAACGAACTATTGCAATTAATAACTCAAGTTCTCCTTCTTCACTATTTCCTTCATTTCTAGCACATCCAACAGCTCCTCTTACTCTCTCATTTCTCTCTGTGATAGCTTCATACGCAAAACAAACATCTACAACATTTCCAAATAATTCTTTTAACTCTTCAAATTGTTTTCTCAATTCTGTTATATTAGTGCATTGACTTTTTGAAATGACACTACGAATTGATGGAAGTGTAATTTGATAATATGACTTCGTTGTATTACTTTGTGATTTTCCTGATGTTTCTGAATCATCTGTTTCTTCACATGTAGAATTATCATATTCACACAAAAATGAGACATCATCTATTGGATATAATAACCCCGTTCCATCAGCAATTGCACGGGTAATTGAAAGTTCTCCAATTGAAACAAGAAATACATCTTCATCACGTATCATTGAAATATGTTCACTTTCAATAAACAAAAATACTTTTTTTGGTGTTGCTAATAAAATGGCATTTCTATTGATGGCTGATGTAATGATTTGTTCATCAATTCCAATGTCTCGTACATAAATTAATGAATGTCCTGAAACATACCCAATATATCTTGAAGAAAAAATAACAATACAAGTAAATAAATTTGATGTTTCTGGTGACAAAGGTAGTAATGAATTAATAGTAATTTCATTTCCACTCTGATTTGTTAATATAGATAATGAAGAATGAATTGATGTGATTGTGTCAAAATATTCTAAAGTAATTGTTGAATAAATGGTGATATCAATATCAGACAATCCATACAAAATATGTCGAATTGTATCAACATAAATTTTACTATATATTCTCTTCACGAATAATTTTTTAATAAATGAAAATATCCCTTCAGTTAAACATGTTGTTGAATTTGTTGAAAGTTGTAATGCATATATATTTCCATCTTGAATAAAAAATTGGTAATCTCCATCAATAACTTTTTCATTTGGAAGAGGTGAGTTTAATGTTTTAACTTCAAATCCATAATATTGTTCAAATACACCAAGACTTCTTTGTCGAATTGCATCAAATTGACCAGCATTTCTATTAAATTATTCTCTATTTTATTCAAAGAAATAAAAAAAAAGAAAAACAAACCTTGAAATGTTTGAGTTGATCATATTAATAACATGTTGTTTTGCAATTTTATCTCGTTGTTTTCTAAGGTCTTCAATTCTATCTTCATCAACTTGATAAGAACTTTTTTCAGCATCAATCAAATTCTGAAGATGATTAAATGATAACTGAGTTTTTGATGGAAGATTTAAATTAGATATTCGTGGTAAATCCAACATGAACGTTCCAGTTAATCTCTCTATTTTTTCTTTTCTATTTTTCATTTTTATAAAAACATAAAAAAAATATTTTCTAAATAATAAATCGTTATATAAAACGTAAAAATGTAAAAATGGGATTGATGCGTAAAGACTTGAAGAAAAATAATGGAATGAAGTCGAAAGCTTTCGAATGTAAAATGTATTTCTTTCAGTTTCTTTGTAGCTTCTTATTTTCTTAATAATTGGAATTTTAACCTAAAACAAAAAATAAATCATTTCAACAATGCCATCCTCAGAATCATGGAAGAAAGTTACTAAAAAGGTTCAGTTCTTTAATTTATTTAATTATTATGTTGGAGGATTTACAATTAACATGTCAACATATTTTTGTTGGTTAATTATTCCATTATTAATGAAAGAAAATGGAGCAACACCATTTGATATTGGATTAGCTGATGCAGTCACATTTGGTATTACAGGATTATTATCTCCATTGATTGGGTTTGTAGCAAGTAAAGAATATTTATGTCCTGATACTATTTGTCGAATAGGATTTGTATTACAAGCAACATGTTCAATTAGTATTGCTATTTATTATATTTCAGGAACAATGATTGTTCCTATCTTTTTCTTATTAGTTCAAGAATCATTTGCACTTGCATTCTTTTGGTCTATTTGTGAGTATTTATTATCAAACGAAATTTATCAAGGAGAGACAAATCAAAAAATGTCATGGTTCTGTTGTTCATGGTCATTTGGTAAAGCAATTGGTTTTGTTCTTGGTGGACCAATGAGAAGTGCTTTTGGTTATTCATTTTCACTTTATTTCTCTGCACTTATTGTAATGATTGCTTTTGTTGTTTTCCCAAGAATGCCAAGAAATAGATCAACAACTCCAAACACCGCTAAACTTGAAAAACAAAAAGCAAAACTTGAAAAGAAGAAAGCAAAGAAAATAGAAAGTCTTACTAAGAAAGGATTAAGTCAGGAAGAAATAGAAATTAAAATAAATAATATGCATAAAGAAAATTTCCTTACTAAACATCAACCTGTTCCAAAAAGATATTTCTTATATTATTTAAATGAATTAGTTATTCATTTCACTGTATATGGAACAGTTGCTGTATTTGGAAATCAATACATTGATTTTGCTGATGAAAATAATATTGTATTAAATGGTGTTAATGATGATTCTGGAACATACTGTTCATTATTCCTTGGTATTGTTTATTTTTCACAATCATTCTGTTTTTGGGTATTAGGACAATTCTCTTATTGGCAATATAAACAAACTCTTAATATCATTGTTCAAATCTTTATTGGAGCAATTTGTCTTGCATTAATTTATTTACGAAATGGATGGGTATTATGTGTTTTAGCAATTCCAATTGGTATTATTTCTGGATACGACTTACAATCAAATGTTTTATATTCAATCAATGCAGGTCCTAAAATTAAAGGTGTTATTCTCGGTATGAGTGAGTGTGTTGGTGAATTAACATGTTGTCTTTGTCCATTGTTTGCTGGTTTGATTGCCACACAAACAGATGATAGAAAATGGGCATTATGGTTTGGATTGATATTACAATGTGTTGGAATTGTGTTATGCATCATTACACAAGCCATAACCATCATTCTTGAACGATTTGACAAACAAAAAGAAAGTGATGAAATTGAATTAGGTAATAATGAATATCAAGAACCTACTCCAATTGAAGATGTAGATGTTGATACTAATTTAGTTCATCAAATTGAAATAGAAGATGGAAATGTTTCTGAGTCTTCAGAACTAGACAAAGAAGAAGATACTGATGAAAAGAGTCCTGAAGAAAATGAAAATGTTCAACCCACTGGTACTCCAGAACAAAAACCTTCTAACGAATAAACAGACATGACATGTCTTTGATTTCTATATTATCTATTTTAATTTTTATTCTTTGATTTTATTCACACATTTGTTTATTTTAGTCATCTCTTATTATTCTTGTTTAATGTAAAGAAATATCATTGTTATTATTTTATTTAATCGAGTATTTTAACTTTATCTTTAATTCATAATGAAATTCAGCAAAGTAATTCTCTCTTATAATTTCATACACCAAAGAACAACCAACTAATAATTAGAGATGAGAATTTATTCATTTTAATTGGTTTTAATTAGTATATGTATTTCTCTACTTTGGTCTTTCAATGTACAAATTATAATCGTTTCTTTTCATTGACTCTTTTTATTGATAAACTCAGGTAAAACATTCATTTCGTATCATTATGAGAGTCTTTAATTCATTTCATTAAAATTATTGATATTAAACAAAGTACTTTATTTCTTTGTTAACAAGTCCAGAATAATATCTAATGAAATATTATTTATGTCCCTTGTTATATGACTTTATTTTTGTTCTTGTTCTAAGTTCTATTTAACATAGTTGAATATATTACAACTCGCTTATCTTTTTCTATACTCATGAATATTTTCAGTACTTTTTAAGAATATTAATAACCAAGTAAGATGAAATTTATCAGGGGTTTGCATGATTTTTATGTAGTAGTTAGAATAACAATTATGGAATTAAGTGATAAGAGTAATAAAATGTTTGAAAGTCTTAACATTAACAAGCAAAAGATGATTTAATTTCAAACCTACGTTTAAAATAAAAAAAAAGTGAAAAGAAATACGTCATTTCTCTATGCTGTTTGCTAATACTAAATCAAATATAAACATAAAAGAAGGAATCAACACATTGTAATACATTCTAAACAAAATTAGTTAAAGTAAATTCTGACTTATGTAAGTAATAACTTCAATAATTCAACCAAGTAATTGTTGATTAAATATCATCGAAGTTGTCTTTATTATGATAGTTGGTGTTAGACTTAATGAATTAATATCAATACTTCAATGGAATATTCAAAACTATTAAAATAAATAAAAATACTTTATTTAAGCATTGTGACAATACTTTATTTGTGTCCTTGTGAAGAACTTATTACTTTGTTAGGAACAATGTTTTTTTCTTTATAAACAATTGATTTTCTTTGACGTGAAGGTTGATTTGGTTGTTCAAATTCAATAGATTGTTCTCCAATCTTAAAATGGTTTTCAACAATAGCTCTTAATTGTTCATTAATTTCATTGATTTCCTGTTGGTAATCACTTGATGCATTTAAATGAATAGAACGTATTGGTGTTTGGTGTTTATTTTCTTCAATAGAAATCTTGACATCAACAGTGCCTTGTTCTTGCTCAAATACTTGGATCTTTACCTCTCCAAGTTTTGTCTCTTTTGGAGTGAAATATTCTATTGGATGGAAAATCATTTGATATAAATTACCAAAAAATCCTCTTTTTGGGTGGAATACTTCATTTGATGGTTGTGTTTCTTGATAGAATCGTTTTCTTAATTCAATTCCACTTCCTTGTAATACACTGTTCGTTGAATCCATCTTCATTTTTATGTTTCTTTTCTCCTTTTTTCTTTGTCATATATCATTATTTGGTGATGAATTTTCTCATAATTTCTTTATACTGGTAAAAATTTGAAGAAATTGCTTTTAACTACAAATCATATTAACCCTATTTTTTTTCGTTATTTAATTAATTATGTTATTAATACAAAAGACAGTGACTGAGCAAAGTTGTACTTCTCATTTATCAAACACCAACTATTGTTTCTTAATCTATTGTTTCCCGGAAAAGAAGTCTTGTTTTTTTAACATCAAACACCTAATTCAATAAATTCCCAAATAATTCTCTCAAGAAATAATCATCTGTTTAAAACTAATTTAAAACCATTAAATGTCTAAATACTTGTGTTAAGGCTTTGATATGTGAAAAGATACTACCAACTAGACGAATAAATGCATAATTTATTGGACTAAAGGAAACATTAGGTGTGAAAAGTATTTTTTATTTTGAAACAAAAAAAAAAACACAAAAGAATGAAATGTAAACTATCAAAAGTTATATGTCAAGTTTTGTAAGATTTAACACAAAAGAGATAGACGATATTCATCACCCATTATTCCAAACAAAAATAAAAACAACTCAAGACATAATTCATAATGCATTTAAAACAGAAAAAACAATGTCTGAAACACTGAATAAAGTTGTTTCACGGGGAAGTGAATATTTATCATATTTACAAGAAGTTATAGACACGTTTGATTCATTTAGAGATATGACGAATGAAAGTGAGGAATATAGTTCATTTCTTGATTCAACAAGAAAGTCAGTTGAAAGACAACGTCAATTTCTTATGAAAGTGATTGATTGGAAAATACAAATGGATTTAATGATTAATAAACAATCAACCAAATTTGAGACAAGTGAAAAAGAATATAATAAAGAGAGAAAAGTTTATGACACTGAATTTAATAAATTAGTTAAATCAAAAACTAGTTTAAATGAACGAGTTTTTTTTTTAGAAAAAGGAATAGAAAATGCTACTATACAATTTTGTGAAGAAATGAATATAACAATATGGAATTTTGGTCAAGTCATTCAATCTAATGGAATTCAATTCAGTGAATTAATCAATGAATGTATTTCAGATTGTAATAAAAATAATACTAAATCAACACCATCTAAGAAAATTATATTGCAAGAAGCAACAAAAGAAATTGTACAACTTCCTAAAAACAAAAAAGGAGGAATATTAGTAAGTAAAGGGAAATTAGGATTAGGAATACGACAATACTATTATATAAAAGGAAAGAATTTAATGATATTTAATGAAAAAAAAGGAGAGAGTATTGTTACTGATATTCTTACATCATTAGCTAAACCACAAAGTGATAATCATTCATTTGAATTAATTACACCAAGTCAACAAGATATTTATTATACAAGTTGTTTTAATGAAATGGAAAGATGGATTAACATGTTTGATAAGGTTAAAAAAGATATTGAATATTACAATGACAAAAATGATATTAATGAAAGTATTAATCCAATTAATCTTACTAATATGATTTGGAAAATACCTGGTAATAATCGATGTGCTGAATGTGGAAAATTAGAACCAGAATGGATATCATTAAATTTAGGAATTGTTATTTGTTTAGAATGTTGTGGAGCACATAGAAGTCTAGGTGTAAGAGTATCACGAGTAAAGTCATTATTAATGGATAAGATTGAAGGAGAATCTATAAGCATTGTAAGAAATCTAGGAAATAATTTTATTAATTCTATTTATCAAGCAAATGGTCATGGTTATCTTATTCATGAGAATGCAAATGGGTCAGAGAGATATAATGCTGTTCATGAAAAATATATTGAAAAAAAGTTTATTAAGAAAGAATGTCAATTAAACATTGAAAATGAGATAAAAAAAGGAAACATTCAAGGTGTTGAAGAATGTATTTCCATTTATGGAAATCAAATCATTAAAGATAACTATTTGACTCTTGCCACTCGATGTAATAAAGAGGATATTGTAACATTATTACTTTTGAATGGATGTAATGTTAATACCCAAGATGAACAAGGAAATACTCCACTACACATTGCTTCAGAATTAAAGAATGATCAAATGATTTTAATATTAATACGACATGGTGCATCTCTTAACATTACAAATAAAGAAAACAAATTACCAATTGATATTGCGAAAGATGTGTCATATGATTTTGGTCAAAAAATACTTACACCAGACTGTCCAAAAGAATTGATGACATTAACATTAGATAAGAAAGATAATGAATATCTTTATTCAATTTGTTCAGAGTGAAAAGAAAGAACAATAATACAATTCTAATAATTTGTTTAGTCTAATTCTTGATAAAAAATGTTTTTCAAAAACAAAACCTGTTTTTTTTTTTTTAAATTAAAAACCCTTTTTTAAGATATCGCAATTCTGATAAAAAGAAAAGAATGGATGGTGATGCTCCTCAACTGAATGACTTGTTGTCAGCATTAGAAGATGGACATATCCAAACCAAAGCACAAAAAGATTTAAATCCAGTTTATGGAAAACAAAGTAAAATTAAAAAAATAGGAAAAGCATTAGAAGACTTTGAGAAACAAGAAATTGAACAAGAGGTTGGGAAGAAACAATTAACACAAGAAATGAATCGATATTCAAACATTATTCGTAGAAATAAAGTTGCAGATACTGTTGTTTTCCCACAATATAAACATGAAGAAGCTACTCCAATAGAAGAAATTTCAGTTAAAAGCTCATTAAAAGATCAAATAGATTCAGTTGTTGAATCATTAAATATTGAAAAAGAAGTTAAAGAAAATGAAAAACTTGTTTCTAAAAAGATGAGTATTGAAGAACAAAAAGAAAGAATTCAAGAACTTGCAAAATTAAGAGGACTTATGTTTTATGAAGAGATTAAAGCAAGAAGACAAAATAAAATTAAATCAAAGAAATATCATAGAATCTTAAAACATGAAAAGGATAAAGAAAAGAAAAAACAAATTGAACTTATGATTGAAGAAGATCCTGAACTAGCAGTTGAATTTGAAAGAAAAAAAGAATTTCAACGACTTCAAGAACGAATTACTCAAAGGCATAAAAATTCAAATTGGGCAAGACAAATGAAACAAAAAGGATTAATGAAAATTAATGAAGTTCGTCAAGCTATTAATGAGAAAGATAAAATCGGAAAAGAATTAGCAGAAAAAATCCAAAAAGAAAATATTTTTGATGAAAAACAATTCTTTAATGGACCTCAATTAGATAAAGATATTAGACAAATGCTTGGAGAAGTTGTTAGTGAAGATGAAGATAAAGAAGTTAATGAACAAGAAGTTGAGTTAGAAAAGAAAATGGCACAAGATAGAATTAAACAATTAACTGACCCATCATTAGATAATAATGCTATTATGTCTATGAAATTTATGAAAAGAGCTAGAGCTAAAGAAATTGAAGAAATGAAAGATATTCTTGCAGATAAACAAATGGAAGAAGATATAGAAAAAGATGGTATTTTAGTTGAGAATAATGATGTCATCCCTACTAATCAAACAGCAGGAAATATTAATATGGAAGATGATGATATTAAAATACAAACAAAAGAAGATCAAATTGCTAGTATTAATATTGAGCAAGAAGTAAATAACAAGAAAAAGTTAAAAGAAAAAGGATTAGATGCAATGTTAAAAGAATTACAAAAAGAAGCACAAGACAATGAAGAAATGAGTGAGGAAGATGAAGAAAAAGAAGAGAAGAAAGAGAATGAAACGAAAGAAGATGAAAAGAAAGAAGATGAAGAAAAAGAAAGTGAAGAAAAAGAAGAGAATAAAGAAAATAATAAAGAAAATAATAAAGAAAATAATATACAAATTGATATTAGTGATAAAGAAGAACATAGTGAAGAAGAAAATAAAGAAAGGACAAAAATGGAAGTTATTGAACTTAAAGGAAATGAAAATAAAAATCAAGTCTTAGAAATTCAAAAACAAGAAGATAATAAAGAAGAAGAAGAAGGTGTGTTTAAAGAAGACCAAAAAGAAATTTTAAGACTTGCTTTTGCAGAAGATGATGTAATGAATGAAATAGAACAAATTGATGAAGAAAATAAAAAACAAAAAGAAGAGGAGCATCAAAAATCAATTCCTGGATGGGGTAATTGGGTTGGAGAAGGTATTGAAAAGAAAGTAAAGAAAAGCAAAGAAGAAAAAAAACCACATAAACGTAAAAACACAATTGTTTTCAATCAAAAGTTTGATAATAAATTTTCTAAGTACACTCTAGAACAAGTTCCAAAAGAGTTTGCTAATATCACTCAATACAAAAAATATCTAAATACAGCTATTGGTAAAGAATGGACATCATTATTAACACATAATAAATTAACACAACCCGAAGTTGTTATAAGAAAAGGAATGAATATTGAACCAATGAAACCATTGCATAAGAAGAAAAATTGATTGATTTTTGTTTTGTGTTTGTTAATCTTATCATTATAACCCTAAAACACGAACAATGGATAATTTTGTTATTAAGAAAGAAGAAGAATGGAGTAAAAAACGAAGAGAACTTTCAAATATCGTTATGGTTTGAATGAAGAAAATCAGCTAATAGAAGATTCACTATAAATAAAGCATTTGCCCTAAAATAAGAACTCAAAAAGAAAACTAGTAAAAAAACCAAGGAAAGTGATGACCACACAAATTAGACGATCAGTTTCTATGAATAAACTTAAGGCAGGAAGAACTACTGCAGATGGAATTCCTATCAATTTTGGAGATGATAAGTTTAAAAAATTATGGGATTATTGTTCTATGTACTTGTCTAAAGATGTCGAAACTATCAAAAGACAAATTGCAAACCATTTAGAATATACATTGGCATGTAATAGACTTGACTTTAGACCATATGCTATTTATCAAGCTGCTGCTTATTCATTAAGGGACCGTATGTTAGAATTTTGGAATGATACACAATCATATTTTACTGATGTTCAAACTAAACGAGTTTATTATATGTCTATTGAATATCTTATTGGACGTTCTTTAATGAATTCTATTTGTAATTTGGATCTTGAAGCACCATACACTGATGCACTTAAATTCTTTGGATCTTCTATTGAAGAATTATATGAATATGAAGAAGACGCTGCTCTTGGATCTGGAGGACTTGGAAGACTTGCAGCATGTTTCCTTGATTCTCTTGCTACATTAAATTATCCTGCATGGGGATATGGTATTAGATATCAATATGGTATGTTTAAACAAGGAATTGTTGGAGGATATCAAGTAGAAATGCCAGAATATTGGCTTGAAGCAGGTAATCCATGGGAGATTGTAAGACAAGATGTTAAGTATGAAATCAAATTTGGTGGTCATGTTGTTACTGTTAAAGATGTTAATGGTAAATTAAAATATAGATGGGAGAATAGTTCATCTGTTAATGCAGTTGCATTTGATATGCCAATCCCAGGATATAAGACACTTAATACATTGAATTTGAGATTATGGAGTTCTCAACCAGTTAATGAATTTGATTTGGAAGGATTTAATGGAGATGAAAATAGTCAAATTTATTGGAATGCACTTGATAACCAACAAAAACAAGAAAATATTTGTAAAGTTCTTTATCCAAAGAACAATCATATTAAAGGTCAAGAACTTCGTTTGAAACAAGAGTATTTCTTCTCTAGTGCTACTATTCTTGATGTAATGAGAAGATTTAAGAAGATGAAAAAGTCTATTGATGAATTCCCAGATTATAATTCTATTCAATTAAATGATACTCATCCAGTTGTCGGAGCACTTGAATTAATGAGAGTATTAATCGATATTGAAGGAGTTGAATTTGAAGAAGCATTTGATATTACTAATAAGACATTCTCATACACTAATCATACAGTTTTACCAGAAGCACTTGAAACATGGCCAGTTGATTTGTTTGGACAATTATTACCAAGACATCTTCAACTTGCATATCAAATCAACCAACATTTCCTCGATTCAGTTAAGAAACAATTCCCACATGTTTCTGGAGAACAATTAAGTAAATTATCACTTGTTGAAGAAAGTACACCAAAAAGATTAAGAATGGCAAATCTTGCCATCATTTGTTCACATACAGTCAATGGTGTTGCTGCTATTCATTCACAAATTCTTAAGGATTCCCTCTTTAATCATTTCTATGTTTTATGGCCACACAAATTTATTAATGTTACTAATGGAGTTACACCAAGAAGATGGATCAAACAATGTAATCCAGCTTTAAGTCAAGTAATTACTGAAGCAATTAAAACAGATGAATGGGTATCTAATTTGTCCCTTGTTAAAGGTCTTGAGAATGTATTTAATCATGAATTGATTGAAAAATTCATTCATGTTAAACAACTTAATAAAGACAGATTAAAGAGACTTGTTTTTAGATTGACAGATTCTAAAGTTGTATTAGATAGAAATGCATTGTTTGATGTTATGGTTAAGAGAATCCATGAGTATAAGAGACAATTGTTAAATCTCTTTGGTACTATTCATACATACCTTCAAATCAAAAAGATGACACCAATGCAAAGAATGAAACTTGTTCCAAGAGTCAAAATCTTTGCAGGTAAAGCAGCTATTGGATATGATATGGCTAAAGGAATTATTAAATTGATTAATTCCGTTGCTGATACTGTAAACAATGACCCAGAAGTAGGAAATTTATTAAAGGTTGTTTTCATTCCAAATTACAGTGTTTCATTAGCAGAAGTTATTATTCCAGCAAATGATATTAATGAACAAATCTCAACTGCTGGATATGAGGCATCTGGAACTTCCTGTATGAAGTTTGTTATGAATGGAGGACTTATTGTTGGTACATGGGATGGTGCTAATGTTGAAATTGCAGAAGAAGTTGGAGAAGAAAATATGTTTATGTTTGGAGCTAAGGCATATGAAGTTGCAGGAATTCGTGCTAATCCAATTCCAATTAGTAAAGACCTTGCTGAGGTATTAGCCGCTATTGATAACGGAATGTTTGGTGATGCTTCAATTCACAAATTTGTTATTGACCAATTCCGTGGAGGAAGTGATTATTATTTGGTCTGTAGAGACTTTGATGGATATGTCAAGATCCAAGAACATATTGATTCAGTTTGGAAAAATCCACAAGAATGGACCACTAAATGTATTAGATGTGTTGCTCGTATGGGCAAATTCTCATCTGATAGATCTATTGAAGAGTATGCTTCAAATGTATGGAATGTTCAAAAATGTCCATTACCAGTAGATGTTGTTTCAACTACTGACAGTAAATAAGTTGAAATGCTTTTTTTACTTTTATGGAATGATTATTTTTTTAAAGAAAAATAATTAACAATAAATCAATAACGAAGTGATTTACGACGTTGTTGTAAATTCTGTAAAACATCATGACAATGAATAAAAGTGTCATTAAGAATGTTGTACCATAAGTCTTCATTTTCTTTATTAGTAAAAGTGAGCTTGACTATTTCTTCAGAATAGCAGATTTGAATTTCATTGCTGTTTCTAAAAATTGTAGCATCTCCAATATTTATGACTAGTTTAAATTGAAGAGCTTCACCAAAGAACAATGTTTTACTTTTCTCAACAAACAAAATGATGTCAGTAAATAATATGAGATCAACCTGTATTTCTTTTTCTATAAAATTAGAAGTAATAGTTGGAGTTTTCATTAACAAATTATTTGGTTCTTTTTTCATTTGGTTAAAGGAGGGAATTGTTAAGACTTTAATCTCTCTTCCATTATCTATAAGTTGGACATATTTTTGTTTCATTAGTACTGAAGTAGAATTGATAAGTTCTCTTCCAGGTTGAATTAGTTGAATATCTTCTGGTATTCCTCTTATCTGAGAATATAAGTTAACAACTTTTTCCATATTTTCTTGTTTTTTGCTTTGGGTATTAACAAATGAAGTTACTTTTTCAATTTCATCCAATGCTTTTTTTACGTCTTCATAATCTACATCACTTGGTCGTAAATGTTTTAATAAATCCTTCAATAACAGTCTATACCTTGGTAATCGTTGGATTGGTGTGATTAGAAGGGAGAGTAAATCAAATCCTTGGAGGTGTTCTGGTGCTTGTTTCATTTGAAGTTTGTAGAATGTCCCAAAGGGATGTGGTACTTTCATTGAACTTACTAGCTGATTAATCTGAGGATATATTTGACAGTAGTCACTATAAACTCTCAACAATGGAGTAAAAGTCAATACAATACGACCAAATCGAGAATTTTGTGTATAAACTGATAGTTTTTCTCTCAAATTTTCTAATAGAGCTGTATTTACACCATAAATAACTGAAACTCCTCCAAATATTAATTTCATTTGTTCAGGAGTTAAAAGTGGTTTTTCTTGTTTTATCAAAGGTTGGTGGATTAAGTTTTCTACAACACCTAACTGTTCACAGTATGTGCTTTCTGTTGTAATGAATTCTTTCACTACATTGCCACAATAGAGATATCGTTTTTCTTCTTTAGAATAAAGCATTGAACGAACTGCTTTTTGAATAACACAAGCTGCTGTATTTTCTATAATTTTATTTGAAATTTTGTTGATACGTTCTATCCAAACAAGGTCAAGTCTCATTTTTTTAGAATATTTCTCATAGAATTGTTTGTCAATATGAAAAAATTGGTTTGCCTCTATTTCATTTAAATAACACCGATATGCTAATCCATATTCTCCCATCTTTTGTAATTGGTCAAGTAACATCTTTTTTGTCCATTTACGAGCATCAAGTGAATAAGAGAAATGAGGAGGAGAATAGGGGAAAATCAAACAGAGTGGTGGTTGTTGTTGACTTTGCATTTTTTTTTGAATGAACTAAAAAGTTTCAACATAGAAATTTCATAGAGCAAAAATTTGGTAAGAAAAATCATTAATTTACATTTGAAGTTCCATTCTAATAGTTTCTGCTGTCACACTAGGATTCTTTTTACTTTCCTGAAGAAATACCCAAAGAGTTAAAACTGTTTCTACATGAAGTCTTCTTAAGTCAAGTGTGAAATCTCCAAGCAAAATCTCATTTCTATAGCAGTCATCATCAAAAAAAATAATTTTTAATACTTCTTTGATTTGGTCAGAAGTTACTTCTCTAAGAAATGTTAAGATAGTTTGAAGAATTTCATATTTGTTTTTACAATACAAGTCGATAAATTTTTCACGATATATCAAATAATATTCTTTCGGTTGGTGTCTACATTGCATTGACATGATTTGATGTTTTTGAGATGTTTATGATTTAATTAATATTTTTTTTCGTTTTATTCAACTTAAAAGAAAGAAACAAGAGAGAGTCAGATATATTACAGTAGTTGAAATGAAACTAGACTTGAAGTATTCGTTAAGTCTTTAGGTATATAAGAGTTATGATATTAGAAAGTCTTGTTTAACTTTTTACTATTAGATCTCATATTTTACAATTAACTCATACTAATGCAAAACCCCATGACTCCTTTTATTGAAGAGCCTATTGCCTCATACATTGAAAATAATGATGACCCTAATAATCCATATATAGAAGAAATTAAAGTAGTTGATGCTGAAAGACTATTATTAAAAGAAAAAACTATAGATGAAGTAGCAAATGGTCAATACATTGCATTAATGAGAAGAATGGCAGAGAAATATCCTGACAAAGAAGCAATGGATAAAGTTTTTAATGAATTTTGTCAACAACAAACAAATAGTGGAATGAGTGATCAACAAAAACAATACTCATCAGCATACAGAATGATTGAGAGTGCACTTGCAACAAGTCTTTCAGCAGGAGAAAATGGAAGTAAAATTATTGGAGGATTACTTTCTAATCCAGCTAAAGTTGTTATGCAAGAACAAAGTTCAAGTCAACAATATCCACCACTAGGAAGTGATTTAATGATTCTTGAATACCAACGAGTTTTTAAAAGGTGTGTTGAAGGGACTTTGAAAAACTCAATAAAACTGTTAGAAACGACACGAATTGAATCAGAAAAAGTATTTACAGTTTTAAAAGGACTTTCTTCAAGTTGGAAACTAGAAACAGACAAAAATGGATTAAAAGTAATGTTATTTAGTGGAATTAATAACTGTTCAACGTATTTAGTATATTCACAAGAATTAAAAGAACTTATTCCTGTAATTCCTAAAAAAAGTATGGGATATATTGAAATGAAACTAATGTCTTTGGAACAATTCAAAAATCAAAGACATGAAATGAAAGAGGAAAAAAATTTAAAGTATAAAACAGCATATACAAATACACATTTTAATCTTCATTTATTAAGAAATAATAATATTAGTCAAACTGTATTTGATTACTTTATGTTAACAAATCCTAATGACATTATTCACAGAAATGAAACATCAATTACAATATTATTAAGTTCTATTGATCCATTTGTTCTTCAAGTTAATTACATTCCTATTCAATACACTTTCACGGTCAAACCAAATGAAGTAAGTTATAATCATTTTGAAGTCTATGAAAAAGAACCAATTGAATTTATCATAACGTTAAAACAAATCATTCAACAACAAATGATAGAAATAAAAAATGAGCAACTTCCAGAAAATGAAAAAATTCTTATTGACAAGAAACAAGTCCTTGACAAAACATTTAACTTCCTAATTATGAAAAGAAAAAGGATTGAAATCAACAAAGTGTTACATGAGGTTGCTTCACGTTATATGAAAGAATACAAAGATCAACTAGTAATTGTCCAGTGGATTGCTAGAGATCAAAAGGTTGGTAACATCTCATTCCACTTGTCAATTTATAATAAAGCATTATACAAACAAAATAATGACTGTGAACCATTGAAAGTGTATGACGGACTAATTTCAAATGGAAATGAAGTTCATTTCCAAGGAAGAGACTTAACTTATTTGGTAAGTTATGAAATTGGATATATCATTTTTAGATTATTAAAACAAAAGTGTTAAGCATTAACACAAGGAATAAGATTGTTATAACACTATTTTAATTCAACAAAAAATACTTTCTTCTTCTTTATTATTCATATTTAATATCTTTTTTTTGTCAATTCTAAGTATTTCTTAATATTTAAAGTATAGCAATATTCTTTTTCTTGTTTTATTATCATTAGTTCAACACCTCTAAAAAAGCATAAATGAGAGAATAAAAAGTGGTAATAAACTGAATAAATAAGTAATTTCATGAATTGAATTTAAGACTATTTCTTAACTTATTCCCCTTTATATTTAATTTAAAATAATATGTATTTGATGTTTTCTAATAAAGAGAATGTGTATTGATGTTTAATTTAATGTTTATTCTTTGATGTTAACTATAGTATTTTTAAAGAGTAATTTACTTTTTTTTAAGTTTTGGTTTTATTATAGTAAATGCAAAAAACTAAATCCAACATAGTAGGATAACAATATTTTAATATGTAATAGATTAAATAATGGTAGTATCAATAAATATTTACAATACTACATTAAATTCTAACTCCATCATTGTTTGTAATCTTATTATGATTTATGTATTATTTGATTGATAACATTAGATTAAGTATTTCAACAGATGTTAATTCTCTAGTTTGAATTAATTTCTATTTTCTTTCTTAATATTGTTTTTGAATTGAATCTATATTTCTATTTTGAAATATTCATTATCATTAATATATTTTTTTCTTATATTTGGTAGTTTGATATAATATATTAAATACTTGTTATTAACTATAATCCATCTTTAATATACAACCATATCACAAGTAATGTTTTCATGTTTGGATTATCATTTTACTATTTTTATTTACTAATGCCTAAAAAAAACAATTTTATGTAATTCAAACTTTTCACTTATCTCATTCTATATATTTTTTTTTTTAAAATACAAATCATAATTTTTCTTGGTTTTGTTCTTATTTAATGATTCATTGTGGTGAAATTTTTTGTTGTTGATTCTTCTTTTTTTAAACTCCTTTGAAACACTTCTATTATCTTTTTAGTTTACTTATATCTTATTTTTTATTTTAATACGTTTGGAACATTATTTCTATATTGTAATATCTTGTTAATTTATAAAAAAATTTTATTCTTATATCATTCAACTTTCAAAACTTCTTTTTTGATTGAAGAAACGATTAAGATATTCTTATTTTTTTATAGACTTCTTTAGTGACTTATAGATGTGAAGTTGTAGTATGATATTTATTAATAATATAGTATTAATTTCATTAGTTACACTTAGTTATATATATGTTATAATTTGTGCTTAGAATATAACAATGAAAAACTATTTTTGCAATGGTAATTGTAGATATTGGTACAAAGAGCAATGAGGTAAGTTTTATGTTTACGACTGTATACAAATAGTATTTTCATAAAAATTAGTTATATTTCTTGCTAAATTTATTTTCTCCTACAACATATCTTATATAATAACATTTTAAAGAGTAAATGAAAATGTTATAAAATGTATAAAGTAATTACCAATATTATGGTGAGATAAAAAAAATAAGAGGAATGTTATAATGTTGTAAACAGTTAGATAATAAAAGGCATTTAATGTGTTTAACTAAACATTCTCAAGACTGTGAATGACAACTTTTTTTATGTGTTTATAGTTTATTGAGAATTATTATGAGCTTCATTGCAAAAAAAACTGAATTTACTTATTCTAAGTATAGGGAATTAGAAATGTTCTTTATAAATAGAGGTTTATATACAAAATATTTGTTTAAAAAGTATTTTCTGTATTAATCCAAACAAACTGAAACATGGGTGTTATTACAATTAGAACGATTTTTATTGTTACAATGGATTTTATTTTAGTATAATAAGACTCAATCCCTTAGTGTAAAAATTATTTAAAATAATAGTAATTAAAATGTCATAACACACTGACCAAACCTTCAAAAATGAAAAGAACGATAAAAATGAAATAGATGTTTATAAAATTACTAAAAGAACGAGATATTTTGTTAGTAAGAAAAACATGAATAATACATATTCCTTTTACTATTGCTAAAAAATATGAACAACAACAAACTGACAATATAAATATTGTTTGAGATAATTAATTAATATTAAGCACATAATTAGTTGACAAATGTATTGAAAAGCAGAACCAATGTTTTCTCTTACTACTACTACACTTCAAGAGTAGTTTTTTCCTGATTATCAAAATATCTAATAATTTTTACTTCTAATTTAAAAGTTAATAAATCTAAAGGATATGTTGTTAAAAAGAAACTTTCATCATCTCTCTTCTCTCCTAATCCAATATACGTCCTTATTTTTCCATTTTCTATGACTTCTAATCTTCCACCAGAAATACAAAACTCGTTAGCTTCTTGTTCTTCACAAAATACAATATCATTTCCACCTTCCCCATTTCCAAGAGCCTTTACCCACCAATCACCAGAAACTGTTTTCATTGTTGGTGAATTATTCCATATTACATGAAATTTAACGCCAATCTCTCCTTGTTCCATTTTAAAGAGAGTTGAATGTTCAAAATTTTGATGAAGACAAGCTTTAAAATAAACAGTTCCAGGAATAATATCAACATTTGGTATTTCATTGATCATTGATATGAAATGAATTGGCTTAAATGGAACTGCATATGTTCCAATTCCATAAATTCCTGACAAATTAGACTTATAGAGAAAATGTTGAGCAGTGTTTACTACAACCATTATTCCTTCTTTTGTTTGTTTTCCAGCATACAATTCACCTAATACATCAAACTGATCATTAACTGAAGAATTCGTTATATTTTCTGTTGTACCAATTTGAGGAGATTCATGTTGTATTAAACATTCAAATTTTTTATTAATTAAACGAAAACGAATTGACGGTTGATGTGTTGACGATAGATATAAATTGTTTGGAGAAAAAGGTTCAATTCCTAAGTGTAAAGATTGAAATCGTTTTTGGTGATCAACAACACGAAGTCTAAAAGTTTGAGATAAATGATCTTCATCAAATGTATCAAAAAGAATTGCATTTGTTTTAAATTTTTGCATAATAAGATAATATCCACCTCCAGGTCTTGGTTTTGGATGAAAACTGGCATAATAACATCGTGATTGTTGAATAAATGAAAGATAAAACGACGTTTCACGTAACGTCATTGCAATCCTCTTTCAGAGTATTTTTAAGTTCTATCAGAAGATTATAAAAGAAAATACCCAAAAAAAAAAAATAAGAAATAATTGTTATAATTAAAAAAAAATGTTTTTTATTCTACTTGTTGTTATAAATGAAATATTAATAGACAATATTCTATTTAAACATAAATTCTTTTGGCTTTTATTTCCGAGAAGATAAATATAAAATATATTTTTTTGATAAAAAAATAAAAACAAAAAAACTATAAATGAAAATTTATTACTTCAAGAAAAACTATGTCGTTGGCAAGTACCTCAGAGTTTAAAAGTTTTAATGAGACAACAACTTTGACTAGAAGTGGAAGTACAGAAATGGGAACATACTCACCTAAATCCTTACCGCGTAAATCTGTAAGAAAAACATTAACACGAGTTTCATCACTTCTTTTTAAAACAGATAGAGACCCTATTAAACGACAAAATAAAAAAATGGCTAACGTCTTAGTCAGTTTACCAATTAGCGTTGTTACTCTAATTGACAAAATTAATAATTCCCAGAAACCATTAACCAAATTAATTGACAAAATATATAAAGAAGATTATATACCAGAAGACATAGAAACAAATCAAACTAATATTGATTGTTCACACTTGGTGAAATTATTAGAAAATGAACAAATATATTTATTTGATGAAATTAGTAATATTACTTCAGTTCTTAGTCAATCAAAAACTAAATTATTACGTTCTGCTAGAATTTTATGTAATGGGATGGAAGTATCTCATTTTCATTTATTAGAAGTGATGATAAAAGTATTACTTCCAATTTCTGAAACTGTACTTTGTGATGCGTTTATTAGTCGATTTGCACTTCTTGATGATCCTGGGAAAATGCTACATTTAAAATTATTTTATGAAACAATATCTCAAAACTATGAAATTATATTTGTTGTTTGTTATTTATACTCTCATTCTTTTTGCCAATATTTGATATTTACTTAGATTAGAAAGAAAAATATGATCCTTATTACATTGATGGTGTCTCTTCTCGTGAAATTACTGCAGCTTCAGATGAAACAATGTTTGATTTAATATTTGATAATAATTATCATGAAGAACAATATATGAGAAATTTTATTTACTTTCTTCCATACGTAATGAAGCACAGAGATGTTTATGCCACAATAATGAACTATTATAATATTTTTAATCAAGAACACCCTGAAGATGATGAAATGAAAGCTTTTTTAAGTTGGAAATATGTAAGACTAGAAAGACTAGTATTATCATGGCTTGATATAATGGCTACAATGATTTGTGAAGTTGAACCAGAATTTTTTAAAGAATTAAACTCATCTCCATTACTTCAAAGTGAACAGTTAACTGTTATTTTCAAAAATAAATTTCTTAATTTCTTAAAGAATTATGACCACAAACATGATGAAAATACTGAGGTTGAAGTTGCTCCATATATGAAAAGTGTTGCTCGTGATGTTTTATTTAGTATAGTAACAGAAGAAACTAGGGATGAACAACAAATAAAAATATTATTAGAAACCTTTACTATAGACCCAATTTATTCAAAAGATCAAAAAACTAAAGTTGTTAATTTAATTCAACTAAACCCAGTATTTCTTGCTGAACAACTGGTTTTATTTGATTTAACAGAATTTCAAAAAATTCATTGTCATGATTTCTATTTATCTAGAAAGAATAATACATTAGAAACTTATATAAAGTCTTGTCAAAAAATAGAGTTTTTAGCTCTTAAAGTTATGGATATTCTTAAAAACCATAAGATCTGTGAATATTTTATTAAAGTAGCTAATTCTTGCTATGAAATGAAAGGATATAACACATGTTACCTGATTTATTCTACTTTAACAACAATATCTATTAAACACCCTGACGTCTGGTCTAAAGTTAAAAAGAGTAAATTACAAATTTATAAGAAGCTTCAAATATTATTTGAAATAGGAAATAATTATAAAAATTATAGATCTATAAGTACTGATAAAGAAGGCATTCCTATAATGACTATTTGGATGCATGACATTGTGAATATCAATTGCATTCCAAATAAAATTGATGAACTTGGTTTATTTAACTTCTCAAAATTACGTGCTATTGGAAGTATTATTACTTTATTACATAGTCTTCAAAAAATTCAATTCAATTTTAAGCCTTATGACATTGTTCAAAGAGTAATTAACAACATCATTGTTCCTGACTCTAAGTAGTTGTATTACTCATTTTTTATTGTTTCTTTAATATAGACTTTCTTTTCATTTTAGTTTTTTTCTTTTCTACAAATATTATTTATTATAACTTAATCATTTAAAGCAGATTAAAAAAAAAATCTGAATGACTAAAACCAATTAAAATGTGTTCCCTTCACTTCACTAATAAGATTCTCAAAAGTGTACCAGTTGAAGAAGATGTTATAATCATAGACCCTAATGCACAATGGCAATGGTATAGTGATAAAGGATGGATAAATTATGAAGATAAACAAAATAAATTAATTGAGGAATCTTATGCTAAACACCTTAAAGTTATAGAAATAGATGAAGAACGTTTTGTTGACTTCGCTACTATGAAACAACGAAGAATTGATAATCCTTCAAAGTGTAGAAGAATACAACGAATTTCAACGAACAATAAACCAAAAACATCTCCCATTATTCCTATTAACAAAAAGACACCTTCAATACCTTCTCCTAAACCTACTTCCTTGCCTAACATAGTAACTCAAAAAAAATACACAACTGTCAGAAATACCTACCTTCAACAACCTTCAAATAATATTATTACTAAACAAAATTTTTTACATTGCGTTAATATTCCGAAGGCTTCAATTCCTGTCACCCCTGTTGTAAACAAAACATCGTTCATAACTAAAACAAATACTTCTTCACCTTCTCTATTTAAAACTCAATTCACTCAAATGAACTTAGTAAATTCAGACACACAACTCATAGACATTGACAAATCTCCAGTGGATAATCGGAGTGATGACGAGGATATTGAGATAGATAAAGTTTTAGAATTATTTGAAGAAGAACAACAACAAAAAAAAGAACCAGAACAAAAGCAAGAAAATAAAAAAATAAAATTTCAATATGACAATAAGTTGATTCAACAATTCCATTCTATTCAAAAACTCTCTAAGTTTGTAGTTGGAAATCCATTCCAATCATCAAGAAATCAATGCACAACACAAAAGATTTTTAGTGGTGATTGCATTTATTGCGATGGAGAAGTAGACTTTAATTTAAAACATGAATGTATTGTTAATGGAGCTACTTTCAAAGTTCAACTAACACCATTAATTAATACGATAGTTCATATCAATGGAAGTATTCCAAAAGAATTAATTCTGTGGGCATCTACTAAGAATGTTCCTATTGTTAACAAGGATTGGTTAATAGAATGTTTAAAACAAAAGAAAAGAGTTGACTTTAAACAATATTTAGTTAATGAAAATAAAATAAATGAAACGAGAAAACATAGTATTGATTTAAGTAGTGATGATGTCTTACGTTTGTTTAATATTATTTAATTAAAATTATATAGATAAATCATTCACTATAATAGCAGAAAAAAGAGGTATATGAAAATTTATTAAAATGAATTGTATTTCTTTCTAATGATATTAAAATTAAAGCAAAGAATGTGCTTAACAATAATAAATAGTTATTTTGAAACCTTTTTATGTTTATTATAAATACAATCCACCAAAATTAGTTCAATTAACAAAATAAATAAACATCTTTTAAAGAATACTATTACAAAGAATTAAACACAATTGTATTTAACTAATAAGTAGTTAATATAAATAATATTCCAATAATACACTATAATACCTAACAAAAAAACGAATGAACCTTTTTAAAAACTTATTTAGAATTTATTAGATACAAAATAAATTCAATCAATCAAAATAAGTATGATATTAACTATAATCATCAATATCATACTCCTCATTAGCAACTGGTAGTGGAATATATTTTGGTACTTCTATATTTCTTAACATGCAATAATCTTTTAAATTCATTGCTTTGATTTCATCAACTTTACCAGTAGTAGATCTTTGAATAATAGCAATAAACCCTTTTCCTTCAGACTCATTTTTGATTAATGATGGGTTTTTAAGAAGCTCTTCATTAAGTTCAATCAATTTACCACTACATCCTGCATAAATTGGATATTCAACACCATCAGCAGTAATTTTGACAATAACTGTTTTTGATTTAAGTTTAATTGCATTGGTTTTATGTTTTCCTTTAACAGGTCTATTATTCCCTTGGTCAACAACAATTTGAATAGATATTTCTTTTGCTTTACATGCAGGATGACATTGAGCGATACCCATAATAACTAATCCATTAGAATGATCAAACATATATTGGTCATAATATTGGTGATCATCAATATTAGGGACATAATACTGAGTAGTGTATCTTTGAAGAAAGTTAGGAAATTTAAGTTGTTCTTTTTCCTTTGAGTCTTCTTCCATTTCAATACTTCTTATTTCTTCTTCAGTTTCTTTTTTTAATTTTTTTGTTTTAAAAACTATATTTTATTATTAATTTATTATTTAATTCTCATCCAAATCATTCATCTTAGATCTCTTAGTATTTTCCTACAAAATGATGCAAAGTAATATCTTGTTTCCTCGTCAAGGAAAGGACTTTCTATTTTTTATTCTTCTTTTTGTATCATTGGTAACTTTGGTAGTAGCTTCATTGTGTGTTTATGTAGGAATTTTTGTTCATCTTAATACTCGTATTGTTTGTCAGTTTATTTCATCTCATTTAATATAATTAACAATGACATAGGAAGATCTTGAACAACCAACATATAACACTGTCAGTCAACTCCCAGTCAAATTCATTATTCCATGGGAAGCTTTAACCCCAGCCAAAGACCAAGGGTCTCGTTCAACTTGTTGGTCTTTTGTTACTTCTGGTTTCTTAGAGTCTGCCTATAATTCTGAGGCTAAAAAGAATCATGGTCATTCTTTAACTTCATATGTTTCTTTTAGTGAACAAGTTTTTGGAATTAAAATGATTGATACATGTTCTGTACCTAATCCAAGTCCTTATTGTACAAATGGACAACGTTCTCATAATGCCTCTGATGGACTTCCTGAGTGGTTATATTATTTTAAAGATGTAAACAATAAATGGGCAGTACCAGAAAATGCTTGTCCATATAAACCAACAGAAGATCAATGGAATATTTGTCCAGAATTAAATAAGACATTAGAGTCAAATCCAGTACAATTTACTGTTAATAATATTACTACTGTATATTCTATTTCAGATGTAAAAAATTTACTTGTTAATACTAAATTACCTGTTACATGGACACATGGACTTTACAATAAAGTTTTTAGAACAAAATGTTCAAGACTTAGTGATCAAACAAAAAATGCAGATTGTGTTAATAAAAGAATTCCATGTGAAGGGGATTATTGTTATGAAATAGAAATATCATCATTTGATAATAATGGGGTATTTGATATTACTGGAAAATCATATATTTCAGGAGTTCATTCTATGTTGATTGTTGGATGGAATGATGACTTTAGAATTAATAGAAATGCTCAACACCGTAAGATAAATGAATATTCTAAAGGTGGATTTATTGTAAAGAATAGTTGGGGATTTACTGGACATAGTGCTGGGTATTGGATGTCTAATCATTCTACTGTTCAAGAAGATGCTCTTTGTCCTAATTTTGGAACTTATCAAAATTGGATTCCAATTGATTATGAATGTTTTAAACAATCAATGAACGCAACTGAATGTGCTAATGGATTTTATAGAATTGTTCAATTACAACGATATAATGATGGTACTATCTTAAAATGTTCTGAAATGGCAAAGAATATGGAATATGCTACAGCACTTGGATTCGATTATTGTGCAAGGGAAGAGAATAAAGGCAAAGAATTACGATTTGCTTTACAATCAGAAAAGAATGTTCAAGTGATTTATACATCTGCTCCAATGGTAAAAATAAGATATACTAATGCAGAAGAAGGTCAAGCAAAATTCTATCTTATGGTATGGGAAGATGGGTCAAATACAGTAGAAGAAATTATTACTGATCCAACAACATATCAAGAATTAGAGAAGTTATTTGTTCCAGTAGTATCAGTAGAGAATACTAAATATTGTGGATATTATTTTATTCCTTATGATGTCTTTAAATTTGGTAACTCAAGATTTTTGAATTATGGGGATGACACTATTGCATTTAGTTCATTTAATATAACATTCGATAAAACATCATTCTTAGATGAAAAGAATGGTGGGTATAACTATTCTGCTTTAGAAAAAGAAGTGCAAATTAATAAATTTACACCATTAGATTTTAAAGGACCGTATATTATGAATATTCCACAATAATTCATTTTTTTTTTTATTTTAAATTAATTTTCTTATATATTAAGAAAAAAGAATTAAATTATGTTTAAATCATATCATATGAATGTTTAAGATCACCAAACTTATCCATTACATTATGTGCTTGTTTGTGAAGTTTAAAAAATTTCTTTTCTACTTTCCATAAACGATTATGAGATGGTCTATCTTCTAAACTCATCTTTTGTAATGTAAGTGCTAATTGCTTTTGGTATTTTTTAACAAGTTTTTTATGTTCGTTGGTTGGTACTTTCTTGTTTTGTTTTTTATTTGTTTTAACTTCCTTCTTATTTTGTTCCTTCTTTCCTGGTTTAGTAACGTTTAATTCTTTCTTTTCTTTGTTAAGAACTGGAGTTGTAATATTTGCTGGTTTTGTTTCGTTCATTGGTTTTTTAATAGTCAATGGCTGTGTAACATTCAATGGTTTTGTTCCATTTATTGGCTTTGCTTCTTTTAATGGTGTTTGTGTTTTCTTTGATTGAACAACTGGAGTTGTTGTAGGTGTTTTAACAGCAGCAAAACACACAGCAAAAATCATAACAAATAAAATAGCTTTCATGATAAAAAATAATATAATAATTTTAAGTTCTTTTTTATTTTTATTTTTGTAATTGAAAAAAAATTTTTTTTATTTTGGAATAAATAACATAAATAAAAAACAAATTTCTAAAAATAGCTTATAACTAAAACGAAAAAAAATTTTCGTTGTTTTATGACGTTTTTTTCGGTTTTTTATGAAGTTTTGAACAAAGAAAAGTATTTAAGAATCTGATCTTTCAAACTGTAAAACATTAAAAGAATGACAAAACAAATTAAGGTATTATTGATTAATGGAAGCCCAAGAGAAAATGGTAATACTTTTACCATGTTAAGTTGGGTAAAAGAAGGACTAGAAAAGGAAGGAATTAATACTGAAATTTATCAACTTGGAAAGAAAGATATTAAAACATGCAAATCTTGTTGGGGTTGTATGAAAACTGGAAAGTGTTGGCAAAAGGATCCTGTGATGGATGAACTACTTGAAAAAATAGTTGCTGCAGATGGAATTATTATTGGAAGTCCAACATATTATGCTGATGTACCTGGTGTTGTTAAGACATTTATAGATAGAACAGTACCATTGTCTGTTAAAAGTAGAGCACTGAATAGAAAAGTAGGAGCAGCAGTTGTTATGGCAAGAAGAGGAGGAGCTATTCATGTCTATGATACTATCAACCATTGGTTTGGAATCAATGGTATGATTACTATTGGATCAACTTATTGGAATGATGGATATAATCCAAACGTCACTGATCAACATGAAGTAGAAAAAGATGATGAAGCTAAAAATACAATGAAGAATTTAGCAGAGAATATGGCATTTGTTCTTAAGAGAATAGTTGAGTAATAATTAAGTGGCTGTTACTAAGAATAAGTGAAGTTAAATTAACTTTTTTCTTTTTTGTTTTTTTTTCAGAAAGAACTTAAAAAGTATAAGAAGAAAAGATGACAATTCTTGAAAAGGTTTATTTAGCAAATGTTTTATTATATTTTTCTGATTATGTTGACTTCCTTCAATTTTCTTTTATTAATTCAAAATGTCAAGACACATTACATATTATAAAACAATTTCCTTATGGAATAAAATTAAGTAAAAAACTTTATCAAGTTTTCAAAATGAATAAAAAAGTTAATAAAATACTTGATATTATCCCAAACATTGAAAGTATAACTGTTCCCAATGTATTATATGTTTCAATAATTAATAAAAATATTCAACAATTAGGGATTGAAAGAATAACTGTTCCACAGATTATTCAATTAAAACAATATGATAGTATAGTTTCAATAAAAATAATTATAGGTTATAACGAGTTTATAGATTTAACACCATATCATCAATTAAAACGAATTTATATTGTTGATATAAATAATACAGATGAGGCAATGTTTATTCTTGATCACCTTAAACGATATTTATTTTTTCGATATAAATCAGTTGGCTTTTCTGTTCAAAAAATATATGATAGATTAAAAGATTGTGATATTGAAAAGATTATTTTTGATATTATAAGTGATGAAGATAACAATATTTCAAAATCAATTCTTCGTAGATTACCTCATGTATTTTTTTATAAAAGAGTATTTTCTGGTAATGATACAGACTTTCAGTTATTCACTTATCATGGAAAAAATTTAAAAGTTATAAATGAATCAAGAAATTTAACTACACAATTTAATGCATTATACTTTCCTTCTAAATTATCTTTTAAAACAATCCCCTCTTATATTCAAAATTTTACTCAATTAACTTCTATATCAAGTGATTATTGTGATATATCTAATCTTCCAAATAATATACTCTCTTTTAAAACAATGTCATATAATCAATTAATGTTTCCACAAACATTAAATTCATTAACACTTAGATTATACAAAAATATTAATATACCTTCAACTTTAACATCTTTATTCTTAGAAGATATAACAATTCCATTAAAATGTGAAGATGAAGAAACATCAAATTGTTTTAATTTAATAAAATGTTCATTACTTAAAGAATTAAAGATTCAATGTTATGACATTGAATTCACAAGTTTAAAGTCATTACAACATTTAACTAAGATAAATATTATTAGAAAATATCCATCATGTATTTCATATAATAATCAATTATTCCCATTAAAACTTCAAGAATTAAAATGTGATGAATTACTTTTACCAAAAAAACTTAGAATTAAAAAATTAATTATTGATTGTTCTTCTACTTCAAGAATCAATTTAATTCAATACAATTCATTAACTTCATTAAAAATATATTCTCTCTGTCATAAAAATATTCTTCTTCCATTTTCATTAATAAAAATTCATTTAAATAATTTATATAATAGAATTGAAACTTTAAATTTATCAGATGAACCTTCTTTAAATCAAATTATTATAGAAAATTGTAAAGCTCAATTATTTATGAAATTACCAGAAGATTTTGATTTATTATGTATTATCAACTCAAGTAATTGTATGTTAACATCAGTATCAAATATTAATAAAGTACTTATTCATTCATCTTTAATAGATACTTCTAGAATTTATAGTAATATAACAATTACTAATTAACAACTTCTTACAAATAAATTAATTCAATTTAATTTTAAACAAGAGTTATTGGGAAGATGTCACAATGTGTTTAAGTAATCTCTCATTTGAATGAATCATTCTTTCAATAAATGGACTACAATTAATAGCAGTTCTATCTCCATTTATCAATTTTCTGATAAGGAAATCAGAGAATTCAATAGAATGACAATACCATTTATCTTCAATAAAAGGAGGAAATGGTTTAATGCATGACTTACACACAACATTAATTTTATATCTTTCATTTAATGAGTCATTACTTTCTGGTGTGACTACAATAAATATATGATTAAAATTTGAACTAATAACTCGTGGATCAAAGCAGTCATGTTCATCATTTTGTTCTTTAAATATAATAACAACTATATCATTTCCAATAAACCTTTTTCTTTCAAGTTGTTCTTCTCCATTATAATAAGGAAGTAATGGGGCAACATGATATACAATTTCAAAATTAAATTTATCATAATATTGGTAATACATAAACTCACCTGTTTTACCATTAATAGTATCAAGTCCTCCACTGAAATTTTGCCATCCTTTTAATGGTTTTTTGGTTCCAATTAAATTCATAAATTTCCAAAATGCTGGTGAACATTCATTATTTTCATATGCTTCTTCTTCACTTCTTTGATTATTTTTCATATAGATAACCCCAAATTTATATTGAGTCACAACTAATTTAGATTCAAAAAGTAAAAGTTCTTCTTGAAACTTTATTTTTGGTTTTAGTTTAATTGGTTTTTCTTTAAATCCATTTACAGTTTGCCACCATTTAGAACATTCATCATCGTTAGTTAATAGTACTCTATGAATTCCTTTATTATTAAAAACAATAATAAATTGAAGAAACAAAATTTTTTGATAACATAAAATAGTTACATTGTCACGAAAAACATAAAACTGAGTTTGAGCTAAAAAATAAATATTTTCTTTTTATTCCGACTTATTCAATAAAAAGAAATTAGAAAACAAACATTTACCAAAAAATAATTCTTTGAAGAATTTATAATTATCATCAATATTAATTATTTCATATTGATTTAAATCAGTTTTATCTGAAATAGAATTATTATTTAATTCAATATGATAATTAGGAGATAAATCTTCATCAATAATATTAAATGGATGATAAACATTATCTGTCCATAATTCTTCAGGTAATAATAAACTAGACCAACAATCATAAGTTTTATGTTTATGTTGAATAGATGAATCTATAAAAACTTTAAAAGAAGACTGTGTTTTAATTAATCTTTTATTTGGATAAACAAGACTAGGAATTAAAGAAGAATAAATAGGAATACTTTGATTTGAAAATATAATTTCAATTTCTTTTTCATAAGATAAATTTTGTTCATTTTCAATAAATCCTATACCCAAAGAGTCTTGAATATTACTTATTAATTGATTATCTTCTTTTTCAAAAGAAGAGATTTTAGTATATTTATTAAGATTAATAAAAGACCTTCTACTAATTTTAGATAATTGTACTGTTTTACAACTTTCTTTTTCTTTTACTTCTGACGATTTACTTCCACCAAAAAATTTTTGAATTGATTTAACTTCTTTTGTTCCTTTATAAATTTTACTTTCTGTAAGAGAATTTGTTTCAGAAGTTGGCATTGTTTCTGATGACTTTCTACTATCTAAATCTAATTCTACTTTTAAAGAACCAGGTTGTTTAACTAAATGTTCTGAAGAAAGAGAAGGATGAATTTGATTTAATGGACGTTGTTGAGTAGTAGTAATTGAACAAGAAATAGGAGTACTTGGTTCAGAACGAGTTACTGAAGAAATAGTTGGTGATTCTTTTCTAAAAAATGAATGAGTTGATGCTCTCTTTTTTTTATCGTTTGATGCTTTTGTAAAAAAAGAGAACCTACGTCTCGGAGTTTCACTCATACAAGCAGTAATATAAAACACTAATTTAAGTTCTTTTATCCTTCTTTTGTATTTTGTTAATTAAAAATTAAATAAAATAAGAAATAGAACTTTATCAGAGCATTTGAACGAAAGTCATTAGATTCATTAGATAGAAAAGAGAAGGATAGTTTTCGTTATCATTTGGCTGATACTTTAATAAAAAGTAAAAATTGTTTCAAATTATTAGTCAAATAGAAAAGAACTAAAAAAGAATTTTATGGATGGAAATTATTTGAGACGAGTAACACAAAAAGTTCAAGAAATTAATAATTTAATTTTTGACATTAAAATTCTTAATTACACTGGAACTGTTAAAGAAGAAGTTAATGATTTTAAAAGAAGAATTGATTTATTAGAATTAAAAATAAAAGCATTACCTAAAGATGATAATGAATATGAACAATCAAGTGATATAAGTGATTTTGAAAATGAATTAGAAATAATTGAAAATGAATTAAACATTTTATATCAATTAGAAAAAGAAAAAACAAATATTTGTTTTGGAATAATAAGTACTGAAATTTATGAGATTATTCCACGATGTGCACCAAAATTGAGAATAGATATTGCTGGTGGTCAAAACTATGATGGAGTTAATGCTTTAACTTTTTATTCTAATGATCAAGAAAATCAAATGTTTCAATTAATTAAATGTAAAGAACCTGGACATACTTGTTGTGTTTTAATTCGTGCTGTTCATAGTGGTAAGTTTTTAGGTAGAGAAGATGGTAAAAATTATTTTGGTGTTAATGTTTGTCAAACAAATGCTAATCCTAATGATGAAACTAATCATTGGTTTATTGAATCATTTGGTAAAGGTGTATATATTATCATTTGTTCTCATGCTAATCTTGCTCTTGATATTAAAGGTGGTAGTGACAAATCTGAAACTAATGTTATTTGTTGGGAAAGACATGAAGAGTTAAATCAACAATTTATATTACAACCAATTGACCCAATTAAAAGTGAACTTTTTAGAAGAAAGTTACTTGAAATAAAACCATCAACAGAGTCACTTCCTTTTTTTTCATCAGTTAAACAATGGTTTCAAAAATAAATTTATTACCTTCATTAATTCTTTTTTTTTAATTTTTTATTTAAAAGAAAAGAGATCAGACAAATACAAATGTTATCCTCAGAAGTCAGTGTCTAACATGGAAGTCATCACTTCATTTTAATTAAATTTTCTTTTTATAAACTTTAATATAATTAAAGTATACTTAAAAATTATGGAATTTTAAGGGTTAAATATTATTTAATAAAAAATTTTGTTATTTATATCAATAAAAAATAATACTTTTAAAAATAGTAAAAAGAACTTAAAAAAAAAAAATTAAAATAAAAAGAAAAAAAAGTCAACTTAAAAATTACTCCCTAAAATGGACACAAACACTGCTTCTATTAACTTTCTAATTTGGCAATATCTCAAAGAACATCAATGGAATCGTACAAAACATATCTTTGAACAAGAAACACAAGTTCATTTTGATAAATTATATTTCATTCATTTAGTAGTTATTGCAGAATTTGAACAAGCAGAAGAATACTTATTATCATTTACTGACCAAAACTCATCTGATACATTAGGAATTCTTTATTGTATTAGAAAAAATTTCTTTCTTTGGTTATTAGAAAATAAACCATCTTCTGCTCTTTCATATCTTCAAAATCAATTTAAATTATTTAATTCATTAACTGAAATAAATACACTTGCTCAGTTAAAAAGATTTAATCAATATCCTCCTGCATCAATTTATTCCTCAACAGAAGAATATCGTAAACAAGCTGTATCAAATGAATTAGATAGAATGATTGAAGAACATTCTTCAATGAATAGGGGTCTTTATTTAGTTCCAAATGAAACATCTTTACTTCAACGAATTCTTATTAATAATGAAAGAAGTACACTTCTTTCAGTTAAACATTTCTTTTCAGAAATTCCAATGAATACACAAGAAAAATTAAAAGTTCGTGTAGAACCAATGAATACAAAAAATGATACTATGAATAGTTCTGGAAAATTAATAACATCATTTGATATTTGGGATATGAAAGATAGTCGTTCAGAAATAGTAAAAGAACTTTTATTAAATAATGGAAATATGTTAATATTCTTTGTTAATAAACAAGCCATTTTAGTTAATTCTAAAAAAAAGAAAATTTCATCAGCATTTTCTTTAGATCATTCATCAATTAATTTATTAAATGCACATTATTGTACAAATGGAACTAATGGATTCATTATTTATAATGAAAGTGTATTAGATTTTTATATTATAGAAGATGAAAAAGTTGATTTCTTAGGTAGTTTTAGTCAAAATAATTTTCAAGATATTGGAAAAGCTACATGTTGTTGTATTGATGAAAAACAATTATATATTATAACAAATGAAGGTGTTCTTGTTATTTATGATTTTCCTACATTAAGCCAAGCATTTGTTCAAAAAATAGGGAAACAAGCATTACATAAATTACATGTACATGGAAATAAAATATATATTATTGATGAAAATATGAATTTTAATATTGTTCAAATAGAAGAAAATAAAGAAATTCATCGATTTGTATCAAAAGAATTAAATAATGGAAATGTTAGTGAAAAAATGAAATGTTTAATTAAGTATAATGATTGTGACTTTATTGAAGATGTAGATTTATGTGCTACAGACAAAGGAATATTAATATGGAGTTTATATGATTTAATAGAAGTAAATATTGAAACAAGAGACATTTTTGAATATTCTATTCCAAATAAAATTATTTATATTAAACCAAATCATAATTTTATTTTCTGTGGATTAGAAGGAAATAATTTTGTTATATTAAAACACTTTGAAAAAGAAATTTGTCAAGACCTTTCTTTAAGACCAACACAAGGAAAAGTATTTACTAGATATACATTAAATAATGAAAATTCAACTCTTGTTTGTGGAGAAAAAGGTTCTATTCAAATATTAAATCAATTTAGAAAATATTTACCTTCTAATTATGAATTTTTAAATGAAAAAACAGAAATTCATGAAGAAGAAAATGGAAAAATGGATATAGAAGAAACAGTTAATGTTAATGAACATAAAAATATGATTAATCAACAAAATGAATTAAGAAAAAAACTTTGTCTTATTGAGAAAAAAATAGGTTTATGTCAAAATCTCTTTGAAATGAAAGAATTAAATTTTCAAAAAGAAGAATGTCAAAAAAGAATTGAACAATTAGATATTAAACTTGATGAATTAGTTGAAAAACATAAAAGAATAGAAAATAAAAAAGAAAATATTGCTTTAGAAAATAATAAAACTAAAGCTCTTTATAGACTAGCTAAAGTTAATGAAAATAACAGTCCAATTCAATTTTTAATGCATTCTGAACTTAATAAAGGAATATTTTCTATTGATCAAAATGGACTATTAACTTTTACTTTATGGACTAATCAAAATATTAATTCTATTGTACCAGAAGTAGTTCAAATACGTTCATTTTTATTAAAACCAGGATGTATAATTAGTGGATCAATTTCTGATAATAGTTTTTATGGACTATTTGGAATTGGACATGAACTATACTTATATCATTTAAAATCTAAAAAGAATTTAATGACAATATATTCTTCTAAAAGTTCTGCTTTAGATTTAGTTGTTTGTACTGATTTTTGTAAAACAGACAATTCAATCTTTTGTGTTGGATTAAGTAATGGAGATGTAGTATTATATAATGTTGAAAAAACAACAGTAAATAAACTATATTCTCATCAATATTCAGTTAAAAAAATATTATTAAAAAGTACTTATTTACTTACTCTTGATGTTTTTAATCAAGGATATTATACCCCAATTGCTAATAGTCAATTTGGACAATCAATATCAATTGATTATAGTTCATTAAATATTATTAATTATGATGGAAGTTGTTCACAACCAATTATTCTTATTACAACTAAAAACAGTGTACTTGTTATTGAAATAACAGAAAGTAAAACATTATATCAATTTAATGATTTACTTCCAGATGAATATTTGATTGATTCAAAATTTTCACATGATGATAGTTTTATTATTATTTGTTCAAATACTCGTTTAATTTTTATTAAAAGTAAAGATTTCAGTGTAGTTAAATGTATTATTTATTCTGAAATATTCAAAACTATTCGTGTTACTTCTTCTGATGTTGTTTCTTTTGCTGTATCAAAGAAAAATCCATTACAATGTTCATTAGGTTTAATGAATGGTTGTATAATTTTTATTGAAGCTCAAACACCAAATTTATGGAATTAAAAGAAAAAAGGAAAGATATTCACAATGCAATTTAAACAAGAAATCTTAAAAAAATCAAAATTTAAATTTTTTAGTTTTGACAATAATTTTAATTTTTTTTTTTATTTTAAACTATAATAAGTTAATAAAAAACTATTATTTATTAATTCACAAATTAAATTCAATCTAACATTACTTTATTCGTTTTTCTATTAATTAACTCTCGAATTACATTTTTAATATATAACCGTTCTTTCTTTGGATCTATATCACCTACTATTTGTTTAAATTTTGTTCCATCTGAAGGAGTATATTCCATAAATTTACGAATAAAATATAACATAAATACACCACAATCAACACCATTATTTTGTTGAGGTACGTCAAGTGAAAGAATTCTTTTATGTTGTTCCCATTCTTCATCCCACTTCTTTTCTTTTTCTTTTCTTTTATATTCCCATCTAATAAATTCTAAAATATTATTTGTTAATTCATTTGTTTGAGAAATACTTTTTAAAGAATCTATTACAAGAATACATGGTGAATCAATATAATCCTCACAACATGGTTCAATAGAAATTGAAGCATCTCTTAATTGACTTAAATTTTTTTTTAATTCAGTACTATTTTGTGAGGAGAAAAATAAATTGGGTGACGTATTAATTTCACTATTTAAACTTAATGTTGTTTGTTTTTTAAATGGAGAATCTAAAAGTGTTTGAGAAAGAGGGTCTTGAAGCTCTGTTCCAATATCACTTTTTTTATAATTTTCACAATAACTTTTTTCTTTTCCAATTTCAATTTCAAAAACAGCTCCTTCTTCATCTGAATTAATTCTTTCCCAATCTTCTTGTGGTTGAGACTTTTGAGTTTTATTACAAACAATTACAGTAAACCAATGTGATTCATAATGACATGGAAATAATAAAAAGCGTAAATCTGTTAAATTTTCATCATCTTTTAACCAATTAACTAATTGATTATATCGTTGTTCTCTTAAGTCATCATCATTTACATTACAAATAGAATGAATTTTAGCACTAAAGAAAGTATTAAAGACTTTAAAATGACAACTAATAAATTGCTTTTCTAATTCACCTAAATATGCATTAACGATTACATCATTAAGCATATGATCTTCTTCTAATCTATTATAATCAGATTGTTTAATAATAACACCATCACTTTCCAGAAGTACTTCATCATTATTCATATTTATTATAAATAATAGTTTCGTTTTATTTTTTTTTTTTCACTTTTTTTCCCTTATTTCAGTTTTTATGTTTTATATCACATATTTTTTGGTTTAATTCATAAAACTTCATAAGAACTTTAAAATTGATTATTATTAGCTGTAAGTTCTAATACTTTTTCTTGTGACTAATTCATATAATTTGTTTCCACATCATTTTATTTTTGAAGTATTTTCATATAAATTTATCAATAATGGTATATAATTGAAAAAGGAGAAAAAGTAAAAATGTGAAATGAACATTTTAAAAAAGAAAAATAACAGAAAAGTTCTTGGAATAAGATAAGAACTAAAAAATAAGAAGAAAGGAATATAACTTTTAAAATGAAGAACTAAAAAAAAATAAAATTTAGGAAAGATGGACAGTGTAAAATCAGGATTTCTTGTTAAACAAGGAGGAAGTTGGAAGTCATGGAAAAAGAGGTGGTGTGTGTTAACGCCAACAGGAATGATATTTTATTTTAAAGATAAAAAAGATGTAAATTCTAAAGGATGTGTTGATGTTAATTCAGCGTCAGATGTTTTATTAGAAGATGAAAAGAAAAAAAATTGTTTTGGAATTGTAACACCAAACAGAACATTTTTTATGGCTGCAGAATCAAAAGCTGAAAGAGATTCATGGATTCAAGCTGTTTCTCGATTTGTTAGAAATAAAAATTTATCAGCTATGTCTGGAAATTCATTACAATCTAGTCAAGAAGGAATTCAAAGTAATTCTAATAATAATTTAACACAAAATTTAGGAGATGGAAATACAAATTCACATTCAAGTGAACCACATAAAGTAGGAGTAGATGATTTTGAAATGTTATCATTAATTGGAAAAGGATCATTTGGTAAAGTTATGCAAGTTAAAGAAAAAGCAACAGGTCAAATTTATGCAATGAAAATATTAAATAAAACACATATTATTGATAATAATGAAATTGAACATACAATGGCTGAAAAGAATGTACTTTCTAAATCAAAAAATCCATTTTTAATGCAAATGCATTATTCATTCCAAACACCTGATAAACTTTATTTTATTTTAGATTATGTTAATGGAGGTGAATTATTTGCTCATTTACAAAGAGAACATAGATTTTCTATTGAAAGAACTAGATTTTATGCTGCAGAATTATTAATTGGACTTAAATATTTACATGATGCTGGAATTGTCTATAGAGATTTAAAACCAGAAAATATTTTATTAACTGATGAAGGACATGTTTGTATTACTGATTTCGGATTATGTAAAGAAGGATTAACTGAAAAAGATCAAACAAATACATTTTGTGGAACTCCAGAATATCTTGCACCAGAAATTTTATTAGGCAATGGATATGGTTTTGCTGTTGATTGGTGGAGTTATGGTACTTTAATATATGAAATGTTATTAGGATTACCACCTTTCTTTGATAATGACGTTCAAACTATGTATCAAAAAATTGTTAGTGATGATGTTAGATTCCCAAAAAATACACCACCAGCTATTAGAGAGTTTATATCAGCTTTGTTACAAAAAGATCCTGAAGACAGACTTACTAATCCTGACATTATGATGAAACATCCATTCTTTAAAAATATGGATTTTGAAATGGTAAAAGCTAAAAAAATTAAACCACCTTTTATTCCTAATGTTACAAGTAAAGAAGATCTTGCTATGATTTCTGAAGAATTTTTAGAAGAAACTCAAGAAGCAATTGATGAAGAGAAACAATATGTTCCAAGAAATGGGGGAGTTGATTTCTCTGGATTTACATATGTGGGTAAATAACAACCTAATTATTTTTTTTTTTAAATTTATTTTTATTTGAATGAATATTACAAATTGTTATTAAAGGGTTTTTTTTTAGAAAAGAACTTTGAAAGAATTAATATATGGTTGAAATTATGGATTTAGAATATAAAGACTTTTTTATGTTTGTTGAAAATGAACCAACATTAATTGACTATTTTGGTGATGATGGAGAATTAGAATGGCATCGTGCACTTTTAAAAAATAAAACAGAAATCGCATTAATTCAAATTAATTTACCTAAACAATGTATTCATGAAATTACTACTTATATTCAATTATTAAAAAAGGTTTATTCATTTAATATTGATTGTATATTACCAATATATAATATTTTATTTGGTAAATTTGAAGAACAAGAACAGTTATGGATTTTTACACAACCAATATATCCAATTTCCATTCATTCTTATGTTTTTAAACAACATATTACTCAAGATCAAATGAATTTTTTAGCTGGTGATTTATTACATATTAATTATTCTTTATCATCTATTCAAACATTAATATATTTCACTGAAGAGAGTTTTGTTTTATCTAGAGATCCTGCATCTCCATTTCCTCGTTTATTAGTCTCACCTTCATGTTTTATTATTCCGTACATTTTAAACCAAAAAAGTGATATTAACATTGTTATAACTCATTACTTAGAATTAATATGGAAAATTCCTGACGCTCATATTATCATTAATTCATTAAAAAATGGAGTTTCAATTCAACAAATAGTTCAACATCCAATAATACAACGTTTAATTCATTTTATTCAAGGAGAACAATCAGAAATTACTGATTATAAACCAATAGAAAAAATTGGAAAGGGAGGATTTGGAATAGTAATGAAATGTAGTAATTCTCATAATGAAATTGTTGCAATTAAAGAGTCTAATGGAATTAATAGTTCTACATTACAAAGAGAAGCTACAATACTTCGATTATGTAATCATCCTAATGTAGTGAAATTTATTGGATTTTGTACTTCACAATTTTCATTTGCTTATGATTTAGGATTAGTTTCACCAAGAACATTATCTAATTCCTTTTTAATAATGGAATATTGTGATGGAGGAAATTTAGATAATTATATTCAGCAATTTGCTTCAAGAGGTGAATTACCATCATTAGAATTAGTAATGGATCTTTTTAGACAAATAGCTTTGTGTCAACGATATTTACATTATGAAAAAGGATTTATTCATAGAGACATTAAATTAGAAAATTTCTTGTTAATTCATCATCAACCATTTCCATTACTTAAAATTACTGACTTTGGTTTTGGAAGATCTTTAGCTGATGAAATGGATACAATAAAATTTTCACCATTATTTGCTGCTCCTCAAATGTTTGAACAAACAACATATTCTTCAAAAAGTGATTTATATTCTATTGGTGTTTGCTTATATAGACTAATAACTTGTAGATTCCCATTTGCTACAACAAAAACAGAGTTTATTCAACAAATGAAAGAAAAAAAGAAAGTTCAATTTCCAGCTATGTTTATCAATGATTGTAGATACTCTGGAATTATTGAATTAGTTATGAAGTTGATGGTGTATGAAGAAAAAGATAGAATGTCTTGGGAAGAATTTTATTCTCATCCATTTATGGTTCATTTATTAAAATAACAATAATCATAAACATTCAATTACCAGTTTCTTTAATATTATTCTCTTCATCCTTAGATAAATGGAATGACCTTGAGACACATTGTAAGATATTATGTGTAAATAAATTCGAAGTTGTTGGATAGAATGAAATAATGTTTCATATCCTTTTAGTTCTATAAATATTGTATATTTAGTTAATTAATGTAAATAATAAAGAACAATTGTTAAATGAAATTCATCTTCATTTAATTCATAAGAAGTTAATTATTGGATATAATCATTCAGCAATAACAAAAATTTGAATAAACCATTTTTTTAGGTTTTAATGTTATTAAATAAAACAAATTCTTAATACTAATGACTGTGTTATAGATAATCAATTTCCAACTTTATTGGTCAATCCAGTTAATAATTCTATTAAATTGAGTATTGGTCGGGTACAATAATAACTTTTTCTTCTTGAGACATTTGTTTTAAAGTAAATTTTTTAGATCTTCTATTTTCTTCTTTTCAATTTTCTTTTCATTTTTATTAATATTATTTCTTTTTTCATATTGACAATATAAATCTTGAAATTAAAATTCTCCAAGAAATTAGGTATTATTTAATAGATTTTTGTCTTAAAATATTTCTTATTATTGCAGTGAATGTTTTTATTCTAATTGTTTTTATATATTCTTCGATTGTAATATCAATATTATATTCTTCTAATATTCTTTTTATTTCTTCTTTTCTTAATTTCATTTTTATTTTAATATTCATTATATTAATTCCATAACAGACATATTCTTTCTTCCTTACTTCTGTTTCTTCTCTTCTCCTTGCTTCACTTCTTCTTCTTTCTTCTCTTGTTCTTCTTCTATTATGATCATCTTCTTCTGTTCTTTCCATATTATATTCATCTTTTCTGTCACTGATGATGCTCGTCGTATAATTGTCCCTTGTTCTGTCTCTTTCATCCTTATTCTTTTCTTCTTCTGTCTTTGAAAATTTCTTTCTTCATCATCATCTTCTTCTTGTTCTTTAAGTAATTCTTCTACGTCTATTCCTCTTTTTTCTATTCCATTTATTAGTAATTGTGTTTTCATTCATTCATTACTTTGCTTTCTATCACACTTTTATCAATTTGTCTTTGTAAGTATTTGTTTCTCTATTCCTTTCTTCTCTTCTACCTTTTTCTTCATTTCTTCTTTTTCGTTGCTTTTCCTTCTTTCTTCTTTTTCTATGTTTTCTTTTCATTCTTCTTCTATTATCTTGTCTTTTTCTTCTATTTCCATTGGTATTTCTTCTTCTTTTACCTCTGTTGTTATCTCTAACTTCTCTTTAACTAGTCTCTCTAATTCTTCAAATCTTTTCATCCATTTTTGTATTGTTTTTGTGTTTTCTTCTTTCCTTTTATTTTTCCATCATTATCCTTTCTTATAATATCATTTATTCTTATATTTTCTTCTTCTAATCCATTCATTTCTATGACAATACTTGTTAATCCTTCTTCTAGGCTTATAATAATTTTGGTTATAGTATTTTCTGTAATAACCTGAGTACTCTGGTGTTCTGTTGAAAGTGTTATTAGGGGAATA